AGTCGCTTTTAATCTCCACTGGCCCTGGCACAAGACACAACGGCTCTCAGCTGTTTCATCCTGTCCCACCACATATACCCTATGAAGACAACGACAGAATCTGTCGCAGCTTCGTGCCCATGACAAAGTACATCTGATTCTTGAAGGATATTGACTCGTGACTTATTAAAGATTTGCCGAAGTGAGTAGCGTGACATTTACCGTTGGAAAAACGGCAGACCGTAAACTGAGAGGTTCCAGCCACGCAATATCTATTATGTGGTCGTAACATGAATTCGAGTCCAGGACAGGACAATTTTCTCTAAGTCAAGTCCTTGAACTTTTCTGAAAGGTTCAGCACAGCCTATTCTCTTTTCAAGTGACTCCCTTGCTAGACGCACGTACATTGTATCCGCATATTGCAACTTTGATGCCTCATTATACTCTCTACTGTCACTGATATCCGCATGTCGTGTTTAATTACGCGATACTCCTGAATCTATCACGACTTTCCACGGCAGAAAGCCTAGGATGTTGATCTCGACAGCTAACATACCTAGGCTGTAGTTCCACTTTTTCTGCAAATGAGTCGCTTTTTAGGGTTAAAGCCCATCGACCAGGATTCCCATTTACCGATTTACGTACCTGTAGGCGTACCTGTAGCCTGCGCGTACTTGGACTCGTTGCTTTACCGAAAAGAATCTTTTGTCCATCGTTGCACGAGCTCCCGACCTTTCGTATCTCCTAGCCGGTAGTGAAGGGAATCGGCAAGGAGCAAGTAAAAGATCTGCTGCTGTCAGTAGCTACAAAACATCTTCCTTCCTTCTAGGCATGGCTGACGCTCGTCGCCGTACTTGCTCACCTATACTCCCATTCATGGCACCCTATTATTAACTCGTGGAGCGGAATGGTTATTCGCATTCAATGCATCGTCCAAAGCTAAGAATTAGGTGGTTTGAGCGCAGAAATGTTCGGTGTGGGCCAATTTTTTAGGAAACCTTTCATAAAAATGTTATCATACCGGCATTAACCTAAATGCCCTTTTCGCGTAAACCTTATTATCTTTGAGTTTATTTGCGCGAAGTGCTGTTGCTACGAGTCGAATTTATAACCATCCTGACGTTCCTCAGTCGAATTTATAACCATCCTGACGTTCCTCATCTGGACAGAGTTTATATTCTCCACTCCGTCTCTTGAAGACCGAGAGGTTGAAAATTAGCGGTCACACGGTGATGGCCATTTCTTCCTCCACCCGTAACCCGACGACCGCTCCAGACACTCTTGAACGTGCCTTACCAGCTCAATTTCATATATATATATAGTGAGCATCTCTAGGCGAGTCACTGCTTCTGGGTGTTGCCCAACAGTGTCCAAATGCAATTGGAACCAACAAAAGACTAATTTTGTTTCGCTGTTCAATATTTCCGAAATAAGATACTCGAGCATTCCATATTTCATCCTCACAGAGGTAGCTGTCCGTTCGCGACTCGGCCGAGGGGATGACAACAAGTGCTTCCACGCCGTGCACGTCGCACGGAGAAAGCTTTGATTCTTGGAGTCCACGATAACAAACACACAAAGGTTGGGTTCGTGGTCACAATCAGGTTAATCATTACTAACCAGAAGCTGAACCGAAAGCTTCTAGGGTGGTTTAAGACTATTTGTTTGTATTGCTACATCGAGAGTTCATACATTTAGAAAAAATGCTATTCAGACTGATACAAGAAACACATATCTTTCTATCCCAGATAATAAAACGTCTATATTGATCAACGTTTGTTCGCAGCACACGTGGAGTTCCATCACTTCATATTTTGGTTTTTGTTGATGTTCACAATCACATGTGATTTCGGTACCATTGTAATTTATTGTTTTGATTACAATTGCACCAAATGTGTAAGGGTCAAGTGCATTTCTTGACAATAAAATTCATAATTAAACAAAAGCGCGATGTGAACATCATACAGTTGTGCAAAAATTGTGACATGTATGTAGAAAAAACTGTCCCAAAACGTAAATTGAACAACGCTATCGTAAAAAATTTATTCAAATTTGAAAAAGACTCTTTTCGTATTTTCCAAAACGTGGGCAGCAATTTTTTCTTTACTTTCGCCGCGAATGATACTGACAATTTCGAGTACTTGACTTGACATGGACCAAATCAAAAAAAATCAGTTAGTGAATACTCAATCATTCGAACAGTCAATCAAAACTTTACTCACACAAGTGTGCATGGCTCGTTGCGTCCCTTCACAAGACAATCGGATGCGTACTTTTCGGCTTTTTTGCTCTGCCATGACGTCTTCACGTATCGATAACCAGCATGGGTTGCACGGATATCGCACCAAGGCGCATCTATTCAGCAAAAACAGAATCCTTCATGATCCGAACTCACATTGACAAAAATGTTTGTCTAACCCGTCTCAATCATTAATTTTTCAAGAGGAATCGCCTTGACACACTCCAAGTTTTCTTCAGTTTTTAATGAGCAGCCATTCACCCCTAAACTCGAGCAATGTTTTAATGCCTTTCGAATACGCCCAGCACTTCTAGCCAGCTTACCGATGTACAGTCCGAGCTCCACCAACTTTTGCATTTCTTCCTTGTCACCCGTGAAAGAGTGCACGACACCATCAGTGAATCTCGATCGATTCTGACCGATAATATCTAAAATCAAAAGGAAACGGCAACTGATGAGCGCACTCATCATGAAGTCTCTGAAACACCTACCAAGAAATTCGCCACCAGTATTTCTATTATGTAAAAATAGTGGCAGCTCTGTTAGTTCCGCCAATTTAAATTGTTTCTCAAAGTATCTCAACTGCGTTGTCTTGTCGCAAAACTCGAGTCTGTCATAATCTAATCCGCACTCGCCAATTGCCACAACTTTTCCCTCCATTTTGCCTAGCTCACAGACAGCAAGTAGCTCTGCAAAATAGACATCAGGATCTTTTCCATCCGCTTCGAATTCATTGCTACGCGTTGGATGGACCCCCACAGTCGAGTACAATTGCGGTAAATTATCACTCTGAAAGGCTTTAGCTAATTGTAAGGCCTTGCGGCTTTCCTCTAAATTTCCACCCGTGATTATAATTTTGTCAACACCAAAAGTCTTGGCACGCGTCAACACGTGGGTTAAATCCGACTTATGTGAAGCAAATCAAAGCTTTAATGGTTTTCTATTGAGAATGGAATGGAGCACTCATTTACCTCATGCTTATGCTTGCCGCGATAGAGGCCTGTATACACTGGATCTGTGAGATTGGCGCCTATGTCTATCATTTTCAAAGCCATGTTGCGAAGCATGTGTCAAGCTATGTGGTCCACCAATGTTAAAAACAATCCAACGAGCAAAGGCAACTTCAACAGAGGGGAATTTGTATTTGCGCGGGAATGCATTAATACTTGACCTATTTTGTATCACTCACGATGGCGAAAGGTGTTTGGATCACAAACGAGATGCGCGAAAGGATCGCACAGATGCGCAATGATGGAATACCGGTCAAGGACATTGCTGAGCAAATGGAGCGCAGCAGCAATTACATTTACCGCATCTTGAGAAATATGAATAGTGCAGACCCAATTAACAAGAGACAGAAGACAACAGCCTTCGAATTATCAACAGCCACTGCGACTGTCCCAGATGTCGCACGGAGTTATGATGCTGACGAGAAAAGTAATCGAAATTTTGGAGACCTTCCCGACCCTAATTCTTCGATCCTCTGTGCTGTCGAAAACATGGAAGTTTCGGCCTGTGAGCCTGAACAAAGTTTTGAGCAGCTACTTTCCCAAGCCCAAGCGAGACAACATACAGTAAATGCCACTGTTCTCTTCAGCACTGAAACATCCACGGAAGATAAACCTCATGCTCTTCAATTACCGAATGAGTTAACGAATGCATCGAACTCGCTTAACCATTCAGCGGAATTAACCCAAGACATCACGTTCTGTGATCACTTAAAACCCACCCAACTGCAATTGCAGCCTTCGACAAAACAATTTCCTACAAATTCTCGACTTCGGACCCAAAAACCAAGCAGTCACCAATCTTCGGCGCTGGATTTTTCTATGCTTGATGAACCACAGGTCAAGACGAAGTCTTCGAACAAAACACGAGACTTTTTTGGGGGACTTGACGATCTTCTCAAGCAAATTCAGGACGAGATTCAACGCCTCAAAAGTTTAATTCAGTCCGATCTGTATGACGCTCAACTGTTGCAAATGTTAATGAAATTTCACGCTGAAATACAACTTTTGCAATACAAGAAAACGTTATCCGCTAACGAACTCAGTAAGTGCGCAGAAGACCAAGGTGTGAATGATCAGGAAAGCGGTAACTTGCTTCGTCAGAAGCTGTCAACCGAAATAACGCTTTTAAGCCTTCAAGTGGACAGGGAAAGACTGGAGCTGGAGCGCGAGCAGATCAAACACAAGACAACCTCACTTATTTGCCGGAAGACCCTCCTGGAAGCCAATGCTTCTTCAAACAATGTGAATGGTTCATTTCCTCGCCAGTAGCGTTCGTTACCATAACAAGATCGCTTTAACATCCCAGCGCTTACGCGATATTTTATCTTCTAAGTTGCCATTATTTTACGCGTTATCAATCGGGCCCTACCAATATACTGCAGTTCCATACATATTACTGCTCGGCGAAATAGCTAACGCTTCTTATGTTACTTGTTGACGCTGTTGCTATTGTGACTCTTACGAAATCAATCAGCTCTCATGCATGTTAACTGGAACTGATCGGATTGCACGTCTTTGCCTTTTTAAGTAAAGGCTCCGACTCTGCTGCGTCTTCCATAGCCAGCTTTCGTTTCGCAACGAAATTATTTTCAACAGTTTCACCCTCCAACTCAGTTGCATTGTCGCTTCCTTCACTGCTATCTTTGCGCTTCACGGTATCGCTGATATTATTGCCATCAGCCATCTCGGTAATTAATACTGGAGGCGAATTGCCGTCATCACCATCTTTGCTCCTGATAGGTGTACCAAGCTTCCATGATATTTTTTGGAATACATTTTTGAAGTGTGGTGATCGAACGTTCTTTCCCGCTTGTTGTGCTTTCTTTCGAGCGATAAAATTGCTGCCCATTAAAAAAGACTCAGCGTCCACTTCCTCTTCCTTTTTCTTGTGCACCGGAGGCTGAAATATTCGATCATCTTCAATTTCTGCACCACGTGGAGACGTTACGGCTAATGTCTCTGAGTCGTCTTTTTCCTTAGTAAACGATTGTCCGTCGTCATCGTCATCGTCTTCATCTTCGCTTTCGTTCTCGTCATCGTCATTGTAATTAACTAGTTTGACAGACCTCGGGCGGTTAAGGCATGATACTTCCTCCTGAGTGCATAAAAGAGTGAATAATCATCCTGCAAGCAAAAACGGCGCCAAACCTTACATCTAACAAGTTAGTTTTGCTTAGTGCAGGAGAAGGCTCATTGTTTTCTGTGTCCTTATCAAAGTAGAGCTCCTCTTCATCGTCGATGCAGGCTGCCCGAACAAATTGAATCTTACTTGCTTGAGAAATATTCACATCTGTGCCTGCAAATCCCGTATTCTCATTATGTCGTGACCGTATGGCCTCAAACACCAGTGGACACTCTGCCTTATAAGTTTCGTAAAATTTGGTGTAAATATGCTCGACCAACGATGTCAGGTTTGTCTTTGTCGAATAGAAAAAAATGTTATACTGTCAAAGCGATTGCATACTTTGAGGCAACAATGTATGAGCTCACCTTTTCAACAAAAGACAACACTTCTAGAATTGCTGAACTGACGGCTCCAGTGTTTGGTTTTCCAATCTCTAGATTTTCTAGCATCGGTGTGAACAAATCATTTTGAATTAAGAATCTGGAAAAGAAAGCCTCAGCTCGTACTGCACATGCTCGGACAAACTTGACCGCATCTGACATGGTAAAAAATATACTTAAGCCGATAAGAAACAGGGATAAGCAACATAACAGCCAGCAGCACCTGCAAGGTGATATGTTGGTGCAGCTAGCAACTACGTACGCATGACAAAAAGCTTGTTTCGAGACCGCAACATTTTTACAGCGTAGGTTGCAACAGGTTGCCTTCCAAATAAATACTTGACACGGTACCCGTGATTTTCTGTGCAAAACGTTAAAAGTTCCATGATGCTGTCTTGCAGATCAAACATCGCAGAGGCATTGTGAATAAACGTATTGTTCTTCATTGGTTGAAGCATCCAGTGCATGTAATTAGGATACAGTACACTCAAAAATTTATCGTCCTAGTGATGGAGCAACAAAAAGCAAAAATAAGCTTAGTCAAGCTAATTAAGCGAAAGGTTCCATTCTCGGCAGTACCTGGCCAAGAGGAACGCGAAAAACCTCTCGTAACAAATTAATCAGTTGTATGCGTAATGGTTCATCTCGTTCAAATACTACCAAAAGTGCAGTAAAGAGAGACGATTCAGGTGTCCACGAAATCCGATCCTTATCCGATGCTGGAGCAGGAATGCATTTGCCTTCGCTTGCAAGGTATGAGCGTAACTTGTCTGGACTTTGGCAAACGATCAACTCGGTCAAAATATCCACTGCTAACGTAATGTCTTCCGCTTCTGAATCAGAAGAGCCTAAAATGGAAGCGAATGTCGCAAAGAGCTCGCCATCCCCGAACAAATTACTAATTAGGGTGCCAAATACTGGGGGAGCTCCAAAAGCATCTCGACGTTGAGGTTTGCTCAATGACTTTGTCACCCGCACCATATTTATTATCGCTTTCAGCAATCCAAGACCTTCAGATCGCTTGATATTACTGGCAACAAGTTCCTTACTGCAATAATACCACATCGTTTCCTCAGACTTCAAACTCCAGCCAATCTGCACCATAAATGTACGTACATCGTCTTCCAGTAGGTTTTGGTCTCCAAAATAAATGTAAGTATATGAAAGTTATTTTCATTTACCATGTGCTCAAGCAAGAGCACACAGCTGTCCGGCAGTAAACGCACCAACACGTTATCCTTGATCACCTGAATACGAAAGTTCATGTGGACTCGCTCCACAACGCTTGGATCTGTAATGGGAATCACCTTTCAATAATTAAGCAGCAGGATCAATATTAAAACCTTCTGCTTGCTTTTTTTAACACATTGTCAATGTATAATACCTCGATGAAACCTCCGTCTCCCTCCAAGACTGTTCGAAAGTCCATCTCACAAATTAATCCGGGATTATAGCCAAAGACGCCAATTACCGAGATAAAATTGGTCTCGCTAAGCAAGATTTTGATCAGCTCGCGGTTGCACATTTCAACTAACCATGTACCAATTCAACATTAGCTATGAAAGCTATCATCGTAAAGCATACGTCGCAATAAACTCACGCATAGCGTAGAAAATGTCGAAGAGCTTATGTAGCACAGTCTTATCGGCGTCTAACTCGCTCACGTCAAACAAATCTAGCAGCTTGACGATGTACGCGCCATCCTATAATTGTAATCACGAGCAGTCAGTAGTTGCACATTGAGATGCTAACATACAGGTGTTCGACCTTATCCGCGAGTGCTATGAGCACCGTCGAGCGCACAGTTGGGTGTGGCGTTTTAATAATCATCAAAATTTCATCCAAGTGCTCTAAATCGCAAGGTGGGAGATCGTGGCTGATGTCATCGATGTCAATTAACGGAAGGGTGCAAGTTATTGGTCAATTCTGTCACGCGATAATACTCATTTCTTACGGGTTGATGTCGTCGCGGAAGAGCTCATCAAGACTGCTTTCACCATCCATACTGGCACAGTAGTGCCTATTAATTAGAGGTCGTGCACTGCTTACACCAGCAGTATCCAGTCAGATGATCGCGGCGTGGATGCTGCGGCAACTTTTCACGCGAGTCGACGGCGCGCGTTACCGAGTGAGACCCCCCAATGGTGGAACAGCATGATCAGCATTTTAGCCAATTGTTGAAATAGAAACATACAAGGCAACGAAGGCCGACATTTTGATCCATTTCTTGCGTTGATTTACTAATATTTCTTGGCTAATTGTATCTTATTATCTGAGTCTCTTTTAATCAGTCTGAAGTTTTATTACTCGTAATTAGATGCAAGACTCGGCGGTGCACTAAGAGCGTTTGTCAAGGCCGAGAACGCGGATCTCGACATTAAAATGAAGGTTCAAAACAGAAGAAGATCATTGCCAAAAACTTTCTAGGGCATTACAGCAAACGGGGAGGCTTATGGTTTATGTTTGCATACATAATTTGCTGTACAGCTTTCAGACAATGCACCTCTGACGTGTGCATACCCCACAAGCGAGTCACTTTTGATTTACGGATATGAGGTTTGGCTCACGGCGACGACCTAGCGGTACACTGAATTCCAACAAAGTTGATAGAATTTAATTAGGGGGAACGTATTGTAGTCAGCATGACGAAGAGCCAAATTCCGCAGGAATCTAAGCCTATTGATATGTTTATCAATCTTTGGACTTTATAATGGTGGAAAAGACGAGCAAAGTTTGAAGTTATATGGCTCAGTCTGCTCTTGAGTATTGTCACCAACAATGTGACACCACCAACGATCGTTTTCAATCTCAATAAGATTTCTTACCGCGTTCAAATTTACCACCTATAAATTTGGATGATAGCTCTTTGTTGTAATATAAGCCCTATAATATTTGTCAATACGTTCAAGTTTGTGGAATCAGCGTGAGCGACGTCAAGCCCAGACGATATAGAAGCAGCCCAACCACGTGAACCTATGCGATGGTCATGATTTCCTCTTGATGCTTGTACTACAAACATGTATCCGTTACATAACGAGCAAGCCATATTTTATTTGCAAGAGCCTGCTCGACAACGTGTCTGGTTGGTCAAATACTTTTTAGCCTTATCATCACTTTTCTTGACTCATAACCGCTGTCTGTAATTTTCTACGCCGTCAGTATCAATGCCTTGAAAATCTTCAAGTAGGTCTCTAGGTCCGAATGCTTCCCCTTTTCTGCTCTGACGTATGCGGTTGGAATTTAACATGTTGATTTCATCTTTCAAGAGAGCCAACATTGTTTTGGTTGCCTCGAAACCGTGCAGCAGCGAAATTAAAGCTTAGATTGAATACATGTCCGAGTTCGTTTCTACATACCGCCATTATCAATTTACATCGATTCTACCCATCTTGTGAAAAGTAGATTTTGACCGTTCGGTGCAGAGTCACTATAAAACGAAGTATTTTTCAGTACGACTAGCCTAAATTCACATCAAACCAGTCCAGCTTGCTGGTCACCACTTCCCTGTAAAAAGTTGGTCTTGGCTTTTGAACGCCATTGATTAATTTTTTGCGCTCGTTGTTTGCGATTTACTTGCTTTTTTCTTGCTAAGTCATGCGTATTTTCCCGCATGTTCTATGTCAATCTCATACCCACTGATTTTTCTTGCCTTCTACCTTTAAGCATTCTTCGATTTCTTTAGGTGTCCTTGGCTTTGTCCTCGACTGTGACGATTATTTTTTCTTTCAAGAGTCGTACCATCATCCACATGCCGAAAACTTGCCCGTTTCGGATGCTTGTTCTGTTCGTGTGGCCACGGGGTCACCACCACCCATCTCTAAAAATGCACTCAGTTTACGCTCAACTTATCGCGTGTAAATATTTAATTGAGGAGATAATTCTTTTCATCCACATATCATTGCAACTTATTTCCTAACTCTGATATCGTTGCGCATCGTTGTAGTATTTAGACCGCGAAAAAGCGCCGAGGTTCCCCAGGAACAAAACTCAGGTCCTACGCAAATGCTATGCTTCGCACCGTTATCATTACCGGGCAATGTATCCGCTCCACATTCCCATTGCTGTCTTCTCGCTACCATCAGCGAAACTATGAATACAACGTTTTCGCCGTCAAATGCTTGCTAGTACCTACCGTAGCTAATAGAAATCCGCACTGCACGACGAAGTTCTGGTCAACTTTGTCTATGTTACTCGGCACCAGATATACATGTCAAAAGCTGCCTCTCCGCAAACATATGGTCAAACGGAACGCGATCATTGCGCGGTGGGTGATATCCCCATACGCACTTTTGCGGATACACCGCGGTGCTAGTTGTTTTTGCTCTATAAGGTTGCAACGAAGTGGAGTGTATGTTACTTCAGGCTTTATCTCGTTCCCTCTCGATATTTAGTTTGCTCCCGGATTCGGTTGACATTCCCACAAAATGGATTAAATCTTGCGGGAGAAAGTTCATTATTTTATCCAACTTTGCTGAGTTCAGTCCGCCACACGTTGTAGTAAAATCAGCGATTTCATTTTTGCCTTTTGCACAGATTGTGCGATACTATGGATGAGTGTGACGATGCTCAAAGACAATCCTTATGTGCCATGGACAGGCAAAACCACACGAATATGTAGCAGCGGAAAAAAAATTATTGAAGGCAGTTTATCTACCTGCAATACAATTTCTGCCCGGATAAAGATCGTCCGACCGCGCTACATCGGACCTCTCACAGTCGTAGCAAAACGATAGAAGCTATACTTTTAACATACCAAAATTGAATACATTCTATGCTTTATGTGGGCTTCCTGGAGTCATACCACGATTTCAAATTCACGAGCCAGTTGGGTGTAAATGTCTCTCTTTACTAACCACTGCAGCGGAGCGACCCTTTGTTTGTAAGCGGTTCCATGATTCGAATCACGAGAGCGATGGCGGAGGTGAGTGCGCCAGGGCTTTTACCAGTACCATGCGAAGTGGAAGAATTTGCTCGTCTGGAAAAGTCGTGGAGTTTTCAATTTGGCAAGATTACCCCCATGCCGTGGCCGACCAAATGCACCCTTGGTCTTTAGCTCTCTCCCAATGGATACAGAGCTGCCTATCGCAGCGCTTTCCACTTGTGCCTTGTCATGATGTTGAAGCTTAGCTATAAAAGCTGTCATATGGGACTGTAAGCAGTAGCGAATGGATGTGACGTGACATCACCTCGACGTCGCGTCCTGCTTTGTACTTTGCAGATACAAGCATTACTTGACGTTTTAGCTGGACGGCCGCGTCCTTGAAACTAAATGAAAAGTCTACAAGCGCTTCTCTAACTCAGTGGGCAGATTGAGTATAAATCTCATCAGCACTTTGCCAATTTCAAATGCAGAAAGTATATCTCTAGGAGGTGCAAATTTACTCGACCACTGCTGTCCCAAGCGCAGGTGGCACTCCTTAAGAGTGATGACAAGTGGGGATAGAATACGTTCACGATGCGACATTATTGCGCTTTTTTATCGGGTTCGTAGAAGGCCCGCTTGAATTGGCTCTGTTCCTTCGCTTCGAGCAACTTCAGACGGTTTGAATCGTTATGACGACGTGGTGAGATCGGCCAGGGTCGGCTAGATTCTTGCGCTAAATGCTAAGCTAGCTGGGTATTTTGATCTCGCAGCTCCTTGTTAAATAGCTAGACACCGTCAAGAGCTCCACAGCAGAACATTAGAAAAACAACGGGATACGTCAGGAGAAGGCGAAGAGCAGTAAGCGCCACCTCCTCTTAAATGGCTTCACCGTGTATCTTCAGGTGGAGCGGAGGTGTTGGGTCAGAACTCGAAAAGTCGCTGCGACCGTTTCCATCGGAGAACATTCCGACATCCTTTCCAGGTATAGCTGAATGGTGGTCGGCAACGGAATTCGCGCATTTTGTGAAGCTTTGTTTGGCATTGAAAGAAATTGCATGGAGATGATTTCGGTTTGGGTATGCTCAGATGAGAAGGCAAAATTACGTGTTGGGGCGGAGTTAGATTCCGAGCACAGTGATTGTACGTTGTGCGTGCACTTTCGCGAGTATGCAAAGAAGGAAATAATATATGAGGCTCGCATTGTAGTGGGGAGGGATGACCGGGGTAAGCTATGTAATCTCGTGTACGTATATCTTACTCTTTTGATACGATTGTATCCCATACGATCCTTTACAACTATGAAGTTTGCATTGCACTTTTGTGAAATTATAAATAAATATAAGGAACAAAGTATCAGTATCTGTGAAGATGACGGGATTTCGTGAATGAAATGTATTTTTTACACATGGGCTGCCTGCCGCTCGTCGAGTAATGAAGCCGGTTTTCTATGAAATATTATATGGCATCAGTCGCAATAGAAACATATATCACTTTTGTAATAGCAAAGCCAATTATTCAGTATCATTAATGGCTCTCAGTTCCGAGTTCCTTGGGTGGATCGTCGGACCCAACCTCTCTAAACGCGAACTCTTTGATTTGAAGCTTCTTCTGTGCGAAGCGCATAGCAACAGCGCTGCATAAACCAAATTAACCACCACAAATACTTCGATCAGATGGATGAAGGACACGTCAAATTCAGGGTATTAAGGATATCAGACGAGGGTGTTGAACAGCTTCGGTGGCCCGATACGCTACTTCTGCGCAAAGTGCTACAAATGACAGATAGGAAGGAAGGACCTGGTGGTTTGAAGGTGGGTTTCCAAGTGAATGTACTCTGCTTGTAGCTATGTAGCTATGCAAATGGTTGGGAGTTTTATAACTCCTCCTGGTTTACTTAGGTGGAGACTTAACTTGTTTCCAACAGAGGGCAGCTTGAAAAGTGGCACAAGACGATGGTGGTATTGTGTTTAAATACAATGCGTCTGGCTGTCATTATTAATATCACTTTCAAGAAATCAACCCACTAATTTCAACGACAGAATAATCCGAAGACCTGCAAATTGCCTGAAACTAGTTAATCGCACATTTCGAATTTCATTTCAAAGCTCACATAATAACTGAAAGGCTCTCATGTTGCATATTACATATTTAATTCGTGCGATCAGTGGTGTGGGATGCAGTTCAAACTATAAAGTTGCAATGCTCAGATATATACTCAGCTAAATCCAGGATGTCTTTCTTCTTCCCAATGCTCACAAAAACGTGTACAGCGTTTGGATTTAAATGGCTGCTTAAGACGGTAAATAGGCACCTCTTTATCACCTAAAACGTCGAAACACCAAAGCCCAATTTGACTCATCGTAATAGCTCTCCTCCACTAGGGCGTTACCTGCAACCGCTACCAAACTTTCTAGCTCGCCGCGCTTAAACATGTGGCAATATCTTTGGATTACCAAAGGCCCGAATTTCTTTCTCGTAGCCTTACTGTTACAATGTTTAGCATCTTCAGTCAACTCATCAGCTCCATCACCACCCTTTTCTGACGATGCAAAGCGCATGTCCAGATTCCAAGGTATCATATAATCTTGCCTATCTTCTTCAAAACGACGACGAGAACCTTGCATTTGCTCGTGCGCCCATGCGTAAATGATTCCACGCCCACCCACACGTAGGACGCGGAGCATTTCCCTAATTGCCGCTAGTCGATGGTCGCGTGAGCTAAGGTGGTGGAGGACAGCGATTGACAACGCTGCATCGCACGAGTTTGATCGTAAAGGAACCACCAGTGCATCACACACCAGTGCATCAAGTCCTCGATTTCGACAGATGTTCACAAGACGTGAGCTACGGTCGCAGCCGAGGACAAAACTCTGCAATGATTCTACACACTTCGTATATTTTCCATTTCCGCAACCGAGGTCAGCAATAATCGATCCGCTCGGCAGTGATTTAACGAAGTATGCAACTCTCGGCCACGGACTGTGTCTAGTGCTACTGAAATGCGCCGCAACCGTTTCGTAAAACTTATGAACGTATTGCTGCTCCACCTCAGTAGGGGCAACACTCGCAGACTCTGCACCGGTGATATCCAACGCTTGTTGTATAGAGTTCTCTTGTGTCTCTCGCTTTGGTGTATCACAAAGCTGCGGAAATAAACATTTGCAAGGCCCCGACTGGATCTTGCGAAACGTTATGCTTACCCTACGCTGCCGAGGAATCTGCATTCCGTCGATCACATCGAACGTACGTGGAACGATAGCATGCTCCCAATAGTAGCGACTAGCATCGCTCATGACAGCTAGTGAACGGGCTGACAGTATAATGCCCTCATTTCTGCCATTAGCCGAGTGTCGAAAATCCATGACTACTTCACTACAAATACTTAACGTTGCAATTGTTGTCGTAAACGCCGAGTGCGTATCCACATGAAACGCAATGCCTTGTCCAGGTAAATATTCATTGACCGTGATCTGATCAGGTCTCTCGCCGTCCATTATTCCGCACTTTACAATCTTATCCAATATAGGCTGCAAAACTTCGGGTATAGGTTCATTTATAGGCTCATTTAGGTCACATCTTCGTGTATTGTAGTTAAATTCGTAGCCAAAATGCTGCACTTGTCTTGCACGGATGGTGTGGGCCCAATGCGCCCCATGATCTCTATCAAAGAATGCCATACAGGCAGCCTCTTGTGCTTCGTCAATAAATTCTGTCTCGAATCTTAATCCAGGAACTCTTAGCCCGGGAGGACCGGCATTGCGCTGCACATTGTGTACTCGAAGCAGTCGCTCGCGCGCTTCCAGTTCCGTGCGAGGTAAAGCAAACTCGACGTACATCGGGCGTCCATCAAGTAGCTCACAAGGCTTTTCATGCAGCAGATTGCGCAGTTTTTGAGCCAGTGATTCATTGCACAAACTCAAAAGCACCACACGACGGGATCCGGTGCCGTAAAGAACGTGCTTAATGATTTTTTCGGCATCATCAGTACAGGGACTCGCATCGGACTTGGAAAACAAAAGTCGCAACAAAAACGGCACTAGCGTGGACTCTGCAATTGTTTTGCTTTTGATTCGACGACTCATTGATATCTTCAGGAAGCAGCTGGGCTGCTCAGTGATGATGAAGTTACTCATCTGAAGCTGATCAATCTCGTCCATGATAAATATTTACTGGTTACTCTTTGCACAGTACCGTTTTTACTAAAATGTAGCCATTTGAAATGAACTTTTAAGATAGGATCATTTTCATAAATGCAGCATTTTTAGCCCGCAACACTTAAGACTAATATGCATATCAGGCTGCTCGAAGGTGGCGGCGTTGTTGAGAATGTGGGATGGGAGTCACTACATTGTCTTCGTCCTGGCGCTGCCAGACACACAATTTGCCGTAAAAATCTGGCGAGACAATTGTTGGCTCAAATGGGTGCCAGCGTACGTCACGAGTGAGGCCATGCGGTTTCATTGCAAAAACCTCTACGAGATCACCAGATATGCTATCGTAGACGTACACGCGACCATCAGCTGATCCTGTGTAAATGTATTTTTGAGCGGTCGAATGCAGTGGTGAGAAGTAGCAACGAATCAGCGTTTCAATAACCACATGGCCACGGTATGTCATGACAGACTTGTCATTCGGATGTTCCACCGGTATCAAGTTGCGCCCCGGATACGCTTGATAACGATAATCCCATGCGTATGGCCTGCGAAACTGTGGCAACTCGTTATGTTTTTGAAACGAAAAACACTTTCGGATATCCCATAGTTTTGTTGTTTGGTCTTTCGAGTTTGAAATAAAATAGTAACCATCATCACGCGATGAGATATGCGTGATGCCGTCAGTATGCCCTGGAAACACACCTTGCGGTTTTGGATTTGATTCAGATAGTACACGACGGTCCCAAAGCTTAATCACCGAATCATCTGAGCCACTAACAAATAAGTTTGTATGCAGTGGACCGTCCACAAATGCCACTGCGTTGACATCGTCGTGGTGACCAACAACGTGACACAATGGCACGGAAGTTTCCATATCCATCAGCACGACACTGCTTTGAGACGTTCCTGCTACAAATTCAGTTCCTGAAGCATTGATGTCAATGCACCATACACCAAATCGTCCAACACAACTAATTCTTCTCGACAAACTATCACTCCTTCCTCTTGTTGGACGTGCCAGTGCAAAGACATGCTCTTTTTTATCTTCATCATAGTTTGTGCTTACCATTCGAACATTGCAGTTTATTGTTGAGTACACAACATTTTTATCGTCGGGTGTAAACTTGGCATCTGTCACCGTCCAACTGACGTCACGAACGGGCAAGAAGGCTGCGCGGGTCCAATGTACAGTATCGTATAATAAAATCTCTCCACGCTGACCAGCAGTCAAAAACCGGGACCCGGTGCTATTGAATCCACCGCAGTAAAGCCGATCACGTACTGAGTCTACAACGCGGCAGTGTTTGTTCTGCTGAAACGGCATAAGTGTTTCTTGTAGCTTGATGAGCTGTGACTTAGAAGAGGTGCCTACTTGCTCGCGGTGGCATAATGTATGAAACATCAACTGTTTGCGCGGATATGATGTGGAAATTGAGCTATCACTTAATCCACGTAATTGGTGAGATATACGCTCAAATGGCAGCTGCTCAAGCTGCTTTTGCTCAAATTTAGAGCGGCGGAATGCCCGTGGGGCGTATGTTTGGCCATCAAATACCTTGTCCAATTTAGCGCGCTCCTCGACAGAGATGACGGGTGTGCCATCCTCCTCTTCAAAGGATAGAGACACAGAGTTATCATCGTATTCCGCCATCCAGTCACTTTCGTCCTCTGTGTCCCCCCAGCGCAGCAGCGACGACATTATTTATTACACTAAATAGATTTTCTTCATCAGAAAATGCCCTTGTTTTGTTCGACCAGTATACAGAGCAGGGGCAGAGACTACAAGTTTGAAGTTTTGGATTTGGGCCTCGCGCAGAGAATAGATTCGTCTGCACCGATAGCCTCTCAAGTATCCACTAACAAAGACTTGAGGCTAGCCGATGTGAAAGAAGGAACGGTGCACCTTTGCACAATTTAAGCGTTAACTAAAAAGTCCGCATTCATAACGCTGAAAGGGTTTATCAGTACACTCCATCCATGCGCGAGACCAAAAGTCTCTGCTCTTTGCGACAAATATTAAAGATTGTTCTCAAATCATCGGAATGCTGAATATATTCTGTCGAACTACGTTCAGGAATAAATATATATATCAGCTGGGTTACAGGTACCCTTTATGAAAGGCGGTGGTGTGACCGTAAATAGATGTGGATTACACTGGTTGGTGTAATCACACAATGGTGTGGCTACACCGTAACATGAAGCACAATATGACAGGTGTTTTAGGTTTCACTAATTAATTAGGAAACCAAAGGTTCTAAATATAGACGGCTCTGCCGCAAATAGAACAATTTAAATTTTAAACGGAAGAGTGTCTTTACCTTGGTCAATGTCTAAGTACTCTTGGAGGTAGCGGATTGCGATCCGCTACATTCGTACTGGTTCT